GACACCCTGGGGCGACTCCCAAACCCGAGAGAGAACTCGAAGGAACCTTTGATAGGGTGGGGTTCAAACGCGCGAGGCGTTTTGGTTGATACGCCCACCCTTTGAAGCAGAAAGCGAAATCAACAGGAAACCAGCCTTATTGGAAGCGTCATAAGGCCCGTGCAGACTGTTGAACCATTTCCGCAGGCTCTTCCAAGTGGGTCATAGAAACTTCCGTACCCAATTAGGCTTTTTGGGGCCTTCCCAAGACACCTTCCCAGGCAGAACAAACGTCCCCAGACACCCCAGGCCCTACCATGCTAGTAAACCCCTACCTTCTTCCCTTCGTTTTGGCGGTTCCTTGTTCCAACCCCGAGCCGTTCGCCCCACTGGGGCTCTCGGAATGCGTGATGCGGTCGGAGAGGGGATGATGCAGTATCCTACTTCACCAGGCCCGGGGGGGGGGGGATTTGCTGCGGCGAAAGGCGACCACATGCGACCAATGTGTCTTAAATGGGGCCCCGCCAATTGGTGGTTTTCCCTTTTAGTTTCAGTTTTTTTTTGTTAACACCACAGAACATGGGTACCCTCAAAGAAAACACCGAACACCGCCTATTGACCTTTGGTTTCCCCATTGCCCATGTTTTCTCACCTCATATATGGTGAACCGGCCAACCTTGAGTGAGAGCGCGAAATGTGCCATGGTTCAAGCAAGTGCAGCAAAGCAGGAATTCTGAAGGGCAAAGAACCTAACGTTCCTCATGTTTACAGGGGCTTCTGGCTTCCCTCATCGTACTAGCGCCCCGCTATGGGCCATGCTTTTGTGCAGGGCGTCGTTTGAGTCGCCTGACTTATGCAGGATGAGACCTGAGACCTAGCTTCCCGCACAGTGTAATTTTGAAACCCCTCAAGATGTTCTCTGGATCGGGCCCAATGCCAGCTTGGTGATTCTCTACCCCTGAATATTGTTTTTTGCTCAATGGCTTGGCGCACCCGGCTGTGGAAACTGGGGCCTGACAACCACTTGGGAAGAGGTTTATTAGAAACCCCTAATTTCCCGGCCTTTCGGGCAACTGAGCGTTGGTGCAGCGCTGTTTACGTGGCAGCGGGAGGTACGGCGCCAACACCAAGGTGAAGCTCATTCACTGTATTCTGGCTTCCGGCCACTCTCCCACGTCCTTGCCTTACCCAGGGAGGCCCAGAAAGTTCTCAAAACCCTAAGAAAAGTCTTCTGGTCAAGCAAAGACACACTTGGGTTGTGCGAATCTTTCTGGAAGAGCTGGAGACTTGGTGCAAAGGGATTTCGTCCATCAGCAGCACGAGGTTTTGCAGCTCTCCTTGCAGCATCTCTACATTGAGCGTTCATACTTGGCCTTCCACATAGGAAGGCTTATGAAGCTCCTTTCCTCTTTCCAACATCATGGTGACCAACCCATCAGACTCCTTCAGATCCCCGGTCCGCAGCCTGACACAGACGGCACTGTTGTTGGCATGTGTTTAGTGTTTTTTTTGTTGGTTTTGTTCATTTTAGCACGGGGCTGTAAAAAAACAAAGGTTGTTCCTACCATACCAAGGGAGATTCTAAGTGTTCACTTCTCACAAGCTGACCTAGGGGGCAAACTGCAGGCAGACTCGAACCCTTGAATTGGTTTCCTTTGGATCGACTCTTGGGGTCGGAAGAGCTTGGCCTCGTTGGCCCGTTTCTCGCCTCATTGTTCAAGCCCCAGGCAATCTGTCATTTGCTTAATTGGTGGTTTTAAAGGGAATCTATCAAACTGGCAATATATATTGTCCCAGGGGGCTTAAGCAAATGGAAGCAATTGAACATCAGCATGGAACTCGTGCGGGGGGTCTCCCATGCACCCTGGAAGTCCTGGACCGTTTTTTTTGTTTAAGCAAGCTTTGAACTATAGAAACCTCGGCTTTCAAGCAGCCGTCTTTCTCTAACGCACCGTAGATACTTGGACCCACAAAGCACCTCACTCAGCAGCTATTCAGCACCCGCAAAGCACCTTTGGACTCCCAGAAGGTGCAGAGAACTCTCGGGATTCGCCAACCCCGAAGATGCGGGCCTGTGAGACCCCCCGATGAGGGCTTGACACAGTGCTGATGAAGCCCAGAAAACTGAGGCGGGCTGCGGGCTGCGGGGCGCGGCTTTTTTTTTTTCTGGAGGTCTGTGTCCCAAGCAAAACAAGTGATGTTTTGACCCCATATCCATCAAGCTGTTTACAAATATGGGGCTGGGGGCTGGTGGGGGGCTTATCCGGAAGTGGTCTGATTCTCCACGTTTCACCCAGGGACACTGCTCTATGAATAAACTGGGGTGATTAATACATGGCTCCTTAAAAGATACATTTTGCCCATTTGAAACCTGGCTTTTCCACCAAAATAAAGGGAAACGACAATTTACACGTGGCAATGTTCAGGTGTGTAATGAAAGGATCCCTGTTAATATGGGTTCATTGGGAGCTTCATGGTAAACGTGGAACTCCTCACACCCCCTGAGCAGCTGGACTTTGCTAGGGTCTCCTCGAGATCGATTTGTGCATTAGGCGGGCTAAATACAAACACCTGGAGTCTCCATGACCCTTAAAATGGGTCATGACCCAAAATGAAGGGGTCATGGACCCATTTGGTAAGGGTCATGGAGACGACATGAAGCAGACTGTGACAGCGTTGGGAAAAAGCCCAGATGTGGGCCGTACCCCGTTTTGGAAGGAGTTTCAAAAGAAAAAACTGAGGCAGGAGGTGTCTCCGTATGACCTTCTGGTGGTGCCCGAGGAGCGCGCATTCGCAAAGAGCGCGGACAGCAGATTCCCGGAAGTCAGGGCTACCCTGTGGGTGTGTCTTGCTGGTACCCCATGCACCTATTGGATTGGGGTGCCCTTGACAAATTGTTGGATTTTAGTGAACCACCTTTCGGCTGTAGGGGGAACCAAAAGGAGAACCACCATTTGTCCAGTTCCCGACACACCCATATCATCCCATATCAAATCGAATCCTATATGTGAGGTTTTACCCCCACGGGCAACTCACCTCAAATGTGTGCCCAAGAGGTGACAGTCAAAACCATCAAGGGACATATAGGGATTTCTAGGAGCAACGGACAGAGATACCAGCTAGGCCTCTATCGATTTTGCAGGCTGGTGGCTATCGGTTGTGGGTGGTCTCTCTGGTGGTAGTGAAATCGTATCAGGCTTTCAACCATCGTCTTACTTGCCAATTTTGTGGGAGTGAAGCTGGGAAGACCACGTTTGTGGTGAAGAGAAAGTTCGGATTGTTTATTGGCGAGGAATTCTGCAGCCAAGGAAACCCTTTCACCCCCCGCACTTTACCAGCCTTGTATTTGCTTATAGTTTACTTGTTATTTTAGTTTCAAAGACAACCGATTTCACTACGGGACATATTTCTGATTTTGCTTGCCAGGCAACTTAGTAAATGGAGGCAGCGTGTCATGGGATGTGGTTGGTTCACTTACATTTTGTTCATAACCAAACCGGGGCCCATGGAACTCAAGGTATGGGTCATTTGGATCCACCCTAAAGGAGTGCTGAGGGCGCGTGAAGCGGGCAGAACAGGTATATGAACCATTGGGCCTCCAACAGCTGCAGGCAGGCAGCACTCGATTGCAACCAAGACTAGACACATCAAATATTGGCTGCCAAAGCGACCGGTGCCCATTTGGTGTTCAACTTGTGGTGCCCGGGCCCATGCTAAAGTGAAAGAGCGATCGCTTTGCATTTGTCTCGACGGAGGTGTTTCGCCAATATCTCGGTACTATTGGGTGCTGTGAAAGCAAAGCGGCACAACCGTTGAGAGGACCGCATCAAGCGCGAGACCGGGGAATATTTCACCATCACCGCTAGCGGAGTGGTGCATTTCATGCCAGGTCCTGAGAAAAACAGAACAATACAAAACTGGCGGCACTTGCGGCTTGCAACAGCTCCGGTAATTCATAGACTCGTTCTGAGGGGGGTTCAGGGGTGGTACTGCAAAAGCTGTGCAGAAGGGTCATGGCATCATGGAAAGTAAAGAAGGCTAAGGGAAGCTAAAGGAAGCTAAAAGGCAGCCAAATGAAGCTAAAAGGAAGCTAAAGGAAGCTAAAGCAGATGCAAGAAGGTACAATACGGGCATGCATGATCAGCATAATTTGCCTGATTTGGGCGCTATGAGGCCGCATTCAAGTCTGCTTAGTGGCAGAACATGCTCGCTTCCACCACCAATCTGCAATGTGCGAGTGTGTGTGTGTGTGTGTAAGCTACTTGTCTGCGGTAGGTTTGCTTTTGGACAGTTGAACTTCGGCCTAGGGGCAGATTTTCCACCCCGCAGCCAATAGAAGGGGCCCTGCCCCGAATGAGGGATGCAGAAGGGAAATGTGTGAAGGCGCCGGGCTTGGCGTTGATTGCTCCCAGGTGTTTTGGCTGCATTGGTTGTAAGAAACTGGGAGTTGGGCCATTTTCTGTAAAACCCCCTTGAAAATGACAGCTAGGTGAAACCGCAACCAGTCCATTAGCCTCGGCTGGTCTTTGCTGTGACCTTGGCCGCTTCGACCTTTTGGAGACGATTTTCTTTCCATTCATCTCTGCACGGTGACCCTCCAATGGCAGCTGACAAGAAGTCGCTTCAAGCGCAAATGGACCTTCCAGGTACCCTCTTACAGATGTTGGAAGGGAGGCTAGGCCTTTTGGTCAGGGGTGAAGAGCAACCCAGCTTCATCCCTCAAACCGGGGCCTCGGCCGGAAAATTCACCCAGGCCCGGCCAGCTCTCCGAGTGCGTGAGCTTATCGGAGTGGGTCCATCAGTGCATGATGTGCGCCGATTTCGCGGATGGAGGTTTCAGGTTGTTTCGGGCCACCTCATTGGTTTGGGGAGAGTTGAAACCGCATGAGGAGGCAACTATCGGAACCCCTAGAGGGTACACCCCCGAACAAATCCAAACCACCCTTTGTGAAGGAAGCTGAAGGGAGACTCACTTCCTGAGTTCATGAACCATCCACTCAGCCAGTGAGAAAGATGAAAGTTGGGAGCCCTCCATCGACCCTGCGGCCTTGTCTCGATCCAGGGGCGAGTCGGCCGGGCGAGGCGTGCTGCGATCGATCCGGATGCCGCCCAAATCTTTGCAGTAAGGCCCCCACCTTTTTGGTCGGTGGGTATGGTTGCCTTGCTTGCAGTATGCTAGGGGCATCCACGGTAACAAAGGATGTTTGTGAACCTTCCCCAAGCAGAAACAATCAGGATGTGATTGTTTTCCCAGAGCCCATTTAGCACCCGGGATAATGAGAATGAATCCCTTGGCTTAGTGTCCAATTGCTACCTTCGCTTCCGCTTGCCTAAGCCAGGCGGGTGGGGCGGGCATCCTGCCGTGAGAGTGGTGATTGAGATTTCGACCCCTTGCCAAATGACAAAGCATCCGCCTAGTGCAATGTTTAACATCATTTCGTGCAACGGTAACTTCGGACTAATCCATCTATTCTATGTCAGGGGCTTCCTCTGACTAGTAGGACCCTCCGGATTGATCCGATCTCCTTCAGATTGATCCTCATTGTAAGTTTAAGGCATGCGCCTGACGTTGTGTCATAGCAAAGCTATATGAAGCAATACCCCAAGAGCCTAGATATGATGGCCTTTGACCGCCCAAGATCTGAAAAAATACTGTGGATGGACGAAATCCTGCACCTCCGAAGAAACCCCGGAATTATGATTCCCCTGTAAATGCCAACCAGCAACGGTTTCCCATGGCTTCAAAGTGGTGCAGGATTCTGTCCATCCACAGTAGGGTTTTGGGATTGCAGGATGGTTTATCTAATAACATTTTGTTTTTCCGAGCGCAAGCGTTTTGGTGGCCAAATTCATCTTGGGAGCCACGCTTCATTTCAGGTACCGGGTGCTCAAGTCGATGTCCTTCTTTCGCTTGTACCTGCACCGGAAGGCCGGGGGCAGCCACCGGGCAAGAAAGTAATTTGGTCAACCCCTCTTGGACTGCGGATGGACGAAATCCTGCATCACCTTTGAAACGGTGGAATGATGATTCCTTTGTAAACTCCAGCAATGAAATGGCTTCCGATGGTTTCCAAGTGGTGCAGGATTTCGTCCATCCACAGTATGGCAGGTTCCTTGTTTGGAGTTGGTGCATGAATGAACACCCAAGTACCCAAACACAAGTGAGTTGAAACTGGCGAGTTGAGCGGACCAAGCGAATCTGCCCTGTGGAACTAGCACCAAGTAGTTGCGGAGGCCCATTGCAATGGCTTCTTACATGAGTGAGTCAAAACGCGGGTAAATGAAATTTAGCAAGGACAGTGCCAAGCAGAACTAGGTGCGGCCGCCCCTTGAATTCTTTGCATGGCCTTGGCTGGACTTTTTTTTGTTTAAACAATTTCCTTTTTTGTTGGTGACTCAAGTGGGGATTCCGTTTCCAGCTGTGAATCTGATGGTACTTGGTGCGGGTGCAAGCTTCCATGTTGTCTCCTCCACCCCTGAATCCTAGAGACCTCATAGCGCCCGGGCTCGTCGTGCCTACCCCCATAAGTTGTGTCCACATGTTTTATGTCTGAAAAGGCAGTAACTAATACTCACTTCCTGAGTTCCTGAACTTTAAACTTTTCGGGAAGACCATTTTAGTGGTACATAAAAAGTTCGGGCTTTTTTTGGCAGATCCACTCAGAAAGTGAGAATATGCTCGAAAGATGAAGGATTACCGGAAACGCATTAATAGAAAACCAGTGACCATAGCTGTGCTGGGTAACGAGAACCACAGGAGAATCCTAGGTACCTTTCGAGAACCATTGAACTCTGAACAGACTCTCTCCAAAGATACACTTCGGCATAAGTCACACTTGCCAGCTGACCCGGGTGAGTCTTTTTTTAGGGGACCCCCCACAATGGTGGTTTTCCTTACGGATTCCGTTTCATACCATCCAAACCAGACATCTGGCGAATTAACTCGTCAGTCGCTCGTCGTTTTAGTTAAAGGAGAAGCAGCCCCGAGGGCGCGGATGGCTTAACTCATGCTGGCCTGTGGACCTCTCATGCACACCGCCCCAACCAACATAGAGAACAAGCCGAAGTGTGTTAATGCTGACCCCGGATGAATAAACCATGGGCGCTTCTTTCCCGAAGTGATGAGCCCCACACTAAAGCCAGGGACACCCCCTAGATTCATACACGGGGGCTTATTAATTCGGGGGCAACATCAGGTGTGCATGTGCTTGTGTGGGTCTTGGGCGTGGTAGGAGCGGCCTAAGGGCCGCTCCTAAGGTCCAATCTGCCAGGCGATCGCCCACTGGCGCCAGAACGCGCGGGACGCGGCCTTTTGCCGGAAGCGCGCCAGGCGATTCGAGCGGTTCGAAGCCGTTCCGGTTGCATTTCTGGGGCGGTCCGGTTGGAAGTCGGTGGGTCTTGTGGGTGCTGGGGTGTTTTGTTGACGTTGCCGTTTGTCCAAATGGACTTGGACAAGAGTACGCAATTCTTCCAAACCCTCTTGGCTTCGGCTTCCGTGATTGTGGGAAAGAGGGTGTTCCCAGGCCATGTTTTTCTTTTTTTCTTTTTTTGTTTAATCATGGTCCATTAAATGTGGCCTTTCATAATATGTGTTTGGATGATGTTACATTGAAAGAAGGCTGAGGCAGCTAGCTGCATCTCGGGGTGCCTTGCAGGATTCCCATCCCCAAAGTGTCCGGCCAGAGATGCAGCGGGTCCACTGGTTCCATGTTGAGCCTGGGCTGCTTGGAGCCACAGGGAGCCCAACAAGCTTCCGTTGAATGAGGTTTCCATGGGGAACCCTGCAAAAACCTGGGCCATCATGCTAGAACCAGCAAGTCAACTTCCATTTGAGCGCTCAGTTGCTGAAATGAATATGTTGTTTTCTCCCTCGTTGGGTTTAAAGGAAATGATTTCGCTACTGGAAATATGTCCTCATTTTTTCCAGGGGCGAAACAGCACATGTAACTCAACAGTCAACATATCAAATGTGCTTACCTCTTAAAAACACAACTCTTCAACTTTTTGGGTAACATGGGCTATATGTCTGTAACAGATGAGAACTTCCCCAGGGCGCAGGGAGTTTTAAGGGGTAAGTGTGTGGCTCTTGTATTTTCTTCTCCGAGCCGGGCCCTATGGAACTTCAACCCGTGAAACCAACGCCCAGGCTGTCGCGCGGCTGCTTTTTCGCACGGCCAACGCTGATCAGCCCCATGCTGAAAGTGAAGGCAGGGTGAATCCCTACCCCCTAAGTGTACGTCACCCAGCTAGGTCTGGAAAAACATCAGGGAATTACTCCCCAAAGAGTTCAACATGGAACCCAACCACACCACCAAAAGAGGAACCTCCTTTTTTGGTTGGAGGGTTCCCCTACTAAAATAGACTACAGAAAAAAAAAGTTGGTACCCTTGTTCTAACCTCTCGAAGTGGTCTCTCCTCCAAGACGGTTCCTACTTTAGAGCTGGCTGAATATGGAGCAGAGTCAGAAAATGTCTTTTCTGTGTGCCCCAGACGTGTGCCAAGCTAAGCAAAGGGAGGGCCACCCACGCTTGTGTTGGGGATTGGGGTGGTCATTTGAGGGCTAGTTTCTCCTAGGGGCCCCGCATGCCCCACACTACTTCGTGGAAGCGGACTCTATGAATCCATGCCAAATCCTAACAAAACGGTGCACGCATGGAAAACCGGAGCAGGGGATAATGGTGAAGGCTAAAAGGGCTCTAAAGCTGGGCGTGATAGCAGACATTTCCGCTTTGGGGCTGGATTTTGGCAAATCGTTTGACAAGCTTCCATGTTTTGCTTGCTTCGGGCAAGGGCAGGGTTCTGGGAGTTGGGCACCACACATTGACATTGAAGCAGCGCGTCTTGCGACTTGTGAGTCCTTTCACCGTTTTCACTGAGACTGCCAATGCCAGTGTTGCATCGTTCAGGGCAGGCCACTACCAAATCCAGCAGCGCATGGCGTGCAAGCAAGAGGTGGGTGTTTCCTCTTTCCCCTAAAAACCTCTTTGCTTTTGTCGCGTTTGTTTTTTTTGCTGGCCTTGTAGTAGTCAACACGCTATGTCCCTTTTCGTTTTCAACTGATGGTTCCCTATAGGTTATACTTACTGTACAGTATGCAGGTAAATGGATTCGCTGGGGTTTGCATTGTTGATGCTTCCTCGGTTGCACTTGGAACAGTTACACCTGCGTTTGTAGGGGGGCTCTGGGATACGTTTTCACTAAACAAGCAGAAGGATTCCCAGGAAGCCATGGCCCGAGATGAATCCACGAAGCTCGGAGCTTGTATTGAGGGGCAACTCCTTTGAACTGGGAGATGCTGAACTCACTCCCTGGGCACAGCTGGACATCAAAACACACTTTTTGGTTGTGCGCCGGCCATTTTTGGTCGCAACAGGTTTGCCGATCGTTTTCTGGCCCATCCACTGGATCGGACCCATTTTCAAGTGCTCGGAACGAGGCCTTTGCGCAACTCGTTTGAGCCGATCCGGCTTGCGCGTTTTCCGCAGGCGCTCGCCAGTGAGGCTCGGAATGGAACCCGACCTGTGCGCGTGTTCAAGCCATGGGGAAATCCGGTGACCCCTGTTTCGGACCAGTTGTAGCTGAGTTTCCTCTTGGTGGGGTGATGCTTAAGGGGGGAAAGGGAGCAACGCGCGATGAGGGTTTATATAGTATTTTAGGACTTATTTTGGGATTCATATACCGGTGTTGTGTGGGCCAGGGCCCAGTCAAGAATGCTTCCAGACTTTCTTCAGCGCAAGAAAGTCAGCTTTTGCCATTCACCGGGCAAACCATCGGGTTCAATCCCGCGCGCCCTTCGGCGTAAGAATTGCAGCTTGGCACTGCACTTGCAACAGCTGAAATTTGCTCAATGAAGCTCCATTCCACAATTAAGGCACGCCAGCGTCCGGGACCCTCTGCCAAAACTCCTGCAGATGGCCGTCAGAAGAAGCAAAGAGCAAGGTGTCGATGTGTTTGCTAAATCATGCGAGGTCTATCAACAGCTGACGCAGCATCAATGAGTCAGGACTGTCATCATGAGAATGAACCCAGAAGTATTTGTTATCCCTTTCAATTGCCACAAAGGGAATTGTGCCATTTACTTTCAGGAGGTGCCATGGAGTCCTGTTTGGTTTTAGAAAATGGATGGCCCTGGTGTTCTCAGATAACCTAGCAGGGAAATCGTTTTTTTCCCCAAAAGTACACCTACCGTGGATGGACGCAATCCTGAACCACTTGGAAACCACCTGAAACCATTCTTGGTATTTACAGGGGGGGATCATCATTCCAGGGTTTCTTAGGTGGTGCAGTGTGCCGGGTGTCGCCACCATTTAGAACCAAACAGATATTTTTTAAAGCCACCCACCAGTGGACCAAATACAGGGAAAACCACCACAAACACAACATACATCGGCTTTGGGATGTTTAACCCCCAATTTGTTTTCACAAAAAGTTGACTTCTTGTTGGTTGTCCCTTGAATTCCCTTGAAGACCAACCAAACATTATGGTTTCAAGTTAGCCCAAAAGGGCTCCGAGACCCGGAAGACCGAGCAGGTGGGCGCCTCCACCATGGTGGCGCTGCCCGAGCAGTGCACTCGACTCGCCACTCGGTGGGCGGGGCTCGGTGGGGCGAGGGGAAATACCTGAACTTTCCCATTTTCTGAAAGGGATTGTTGTTTGGTATTTTTAATATATTTGTCGCTTTTTTGGGATCAAAGGGAATTTATCACTACTGAAAATGGATTTGTTTGTTCCAGGGGGCTGGAGCAAATGGAAGGGAATTACCGAACTGGTGGGTGGAAGGGAGCCAAGGAGCTGGGGTATCCAAATTTGCCTTTAAAGAGGGAGCTAAGGAGCAACCAGGAGATTTGTAAGGATATGATAGTTACTCACTTGTCCAAAACGAATCAAACTTTTGATTTCACCAAATTGGTCTTCCTATTATAAACCGACCGGATCTGAGATTTGGTTTTCCTATGGCCTACTTTCAGACCTGGCCAGAAACGGTGAACCTTTCATTTTCTTGTCTTGCTGAGTCAGTCAAGAACCTCTGGACGCATCGCCGAGAGCGAGAGAAAGAGAGACTCTCTTATGATCATGACTCATGACTCACCTTGTTGCTGGTGAAAGGGGGCAATCGAGGAAGCCCAAAAGCTCAAAAACAAAAGGTTTAGCTTGAGTCCAGCAATGCAGGACTGTCTGAAGAGTTCAACATGTCGGATTAAAGGAGGCAGGCAAGTTCACAAGGGTCTCAACAAATAAGTGTTGACTTCCCTTTTGGAACTGGGGGAAGCCCCTTTTGGGATCAGTCGCAGCACGATCAAAGTCTGGTTCAAGGAGGACATAGAATCGATGCGGCCGTCCTGTTTGATTCTGTATATTTATGGGTAAGCTTCTTTGGCACCTCGGGGCAACACATGTAACATTGTGTATGATTTTGATGTCCCTCTTTTCAGAAGTGTGTGGAAGAGTACTGTCCTTTTTGTTTAGTCGCAGCCCCCTGTCCACTTCCACTTCCAGCAGAAAAGTATTTTCTTCTGCCAGTCTCTGCCAAAAGCAATCAGGAAGACTTCGAGATGGCAACTGCCACCAGCGGCGAAGACGGCATCCGCCAGGCATGAAACGGGGGGCTGGAAGGGCTAAGGCCATGGACACGCGGAAGAGTTACGTGGATGCCAAGAAAAAAAGTAACCTCCTAAAATTCACCACCCTCCACGGGGTTCACTTTTATGGGACCCTTTTGAGGTTTTTTGGGGAAGGTTTTGTTGGGTTGAATGCTGTATTTTAAGGGAGTAGGCACTAAAGTCTTGCTCAGCCACCTGCTTCATGGCCACTTGGTGGCTGAGTAATCTGCCTGATCTGGCAAAACGAGCTGAAGGTCAAGGTCGGCCAGTGAAAACACCTGATTACAGGCGTACCCTATCAACATGGAACTGGACAGCATTCTTTAAGATTAATTTGGTACAGGTGGCCCAGTGAGGAAGGTATGGACAATTCAAGGGGAAAGCTATGTGGGGTCAGAAGAAACATCTCTGAAGGCCCAAATGCGATGTGCCGTTTGCCGCAACGACTACTTGCTCCTTGAGTCCTTGAGTTCCTCCACTTGACTCGCTGTTGGGGTTTCGACATTTTTCTGGTTACGAGCGACTGGATCGGAAGTGAGACTACCTTCAAGTGGACTGGAGCCATGGGCCGTGGGTTGGGTCATCATTTGTTCGTGGTTTTTCTTCGCGACTTGACTCAGCATGGCATGCACATATTGCAGCAACTCGATCGCTTTTGCCTTCGGTGTGGCCGATGGTTTTAATGATCCCCCACCAAAAGGCAACCACGCAAAAGTTTCTTTAAGAAAGATATTCAAAATTGAAAAGGAACTAAATCTGGTTTCTGTCACACACACATGGCTGTAGCAGGTTCCTCCATTTTCTAAAGTGAAAAAAAACAATAAAAACATCCCCTGTTGGTTTTAAAAGGAATTCATCACTACTGGAAACATTTTCTAATTTTTCCTGGGGCCTTAACCAATGGAAGCAGTTGTTCAAAGCAAAAACAACCTTTTGACCTTTTGGCTTTCCCTTTTTTGGTTCCCATGTGTAGCCTGGCCTCAAAGGTTAACCTTTCAGTTCTGGGTCCCTAAGGGGCAACTGAGAATTTGTTGCTTCCGTTTCTTGGTTTCACGGCTGAGAATATGTGCCATGGCTGTAGCCGGTTGATTTTGCTTGCCTCGCTCCGTCCGGTGACTCTCTTCCAGGAGCTGGAGCGGCGCCGGGAGTCCATGGTGCTGGCGTTAGAGGCGCACGGATGCTTTGGACTCGCTGACTCGAATCGTCAACCTTTTTGGATTTGTTTGTTGGACCTCCCCCCCCCCATCTTTTTCAGGTCGCCCTTAGTTTTGGGGGTTTCTGATTGGCGGTTTGGATTCGGATTTGAAGGCCTGCTTTTGCAGAGGCTGAATGGGAAACCATCCGCCACCAAACCATCAGAGGGACGCGGATCTTTAGCTCACTTGCCCAAAGCCGACCTTTTGACCTTTTTGGTTTTCCCATTTTGGTCCATTTTTAGTAAAGGTCCCAAAAGGTTAGCCTTTTATTTCCAGGTCTTTTGGGCAAGTGAGTTAGTCGCGGCCGCAAAAGGTGATCCTTCCATTTCTGGCTTTTCAGGCGCAAGAAACTGGAAATGAGTTGATAGCACATCAGGCTGGCAGGATATGACACAGGCTAAGCGCAGAGGATGTTCTGTGTGGGCCAGGAAAGTATTGCAAATAAATTAGTGAGGGAACAAGGAAAACCGCTACTTGACCTGTGTGTTCTATGGTTTTGTGGTAAGTATGGGCTTTGGTGCAGTTCTCCCCGTGCTCAAGTGCAAACTTTGAGTTCAGATGCCGTTTTACACAGCACTTGTGCTTCTGCTTGTTAACATGTGGAACCCCGGCATTTGGAGGCTGTCGATCTAAACCAAGTCATGACAGTAGGAGCCCCTTGTTCGAAATGATATGCAGTGATTTGGACTCTCAAACGCTGGTGTTGTTCAACTGTCACCTTTCGGCAAACGCTAGCTGAGCCTGACTATTTTGTTTGGTGGTATTAAAAGGGGGCATAGAAGAAACCCTGCTAATCTGACTTCTCCAGATGAGGTCGTTGCACCTTTTAGGCAACCATGGCGGATAGACTAATTACTTTGAGCTGGATCCATGTTTTTACTTGCAGAATTTGGCCAGCTTGTTCCACACGGTTTAAGCATTTGCTGTCCAAAGCCAAGCATCTGACTTTGGCTTCCCAGCATTTCTGGAGCTTTTCTTTTGGTCTCTCATCCTGTTCTTGTGCAATGCCACGGGCATTCCCGAAAGACCACGTGTTTTCCTGAAAGATCCTTAAAGACCACGTGCTTTACGAGCCCCACTGCAGCCGTAAAAAAAAACCCTGGCTCCCCATTCGGCCCTAATGGGCCACGCTTTCGGGCCACCAGGAGCTGATTGCCACGATCCGCCCGGGCCTGAGGACAGGATGCATAGGGCAAGGGGCCCCCTTGGAAGATGAATCCTGCCTCCATGCCTCACTCCTGGGTTTCTGTTTTGGGCTTGGACCGTTTTAGTGGGAAACAAACAGTTTGGTGACTTGTTGGGTTTTTGGGCCAATCCACTCGATCAGAAGTGAGAAAAGAGGATTTGTACACTAGGTCCCTTTGTTTCAACCAAAAAAGGAGGCCGGGTCCTTGTACGTCTACTTATGGCGAGTTCGACTGGGGAGTAAAACGAGCTCACCATGACGTAGGATCCCCACTTTTGCAGGTTTTGCAACTGCGCTCCGCGCACTTGCCTGCGGAGGATTGCGCTCATTTGCGCACTTCCACACCCACGCCCACAGGCTGGTTCACCTGTACCTCTACAAGTAGAACGTCAATTAAGCGGTGAATTAAGAATTTGTGGGTTCATGCTTTGAAGTGGGAATTGACTAGGAATGAATCAAAACTCGGCAAGGTTTTGGCGTGGCTTTGTCCTGTCAAGTGGCCTTCCCGGGCAAAGGTTCCAGGCTTAATGGGCTATTCTTGAGGCCTTTCTCGAGACCCGGTGCCAAGGACGGTCATCCGACCAGCTGTCCAAGCGTGCACCTCAGGAGCTGGTTGCTATGATACTAATGTTGACCCCGAATCTAGGTAGAACATGTCCTACTGTGCATGGACAAAATCCGCTTTGCACCACTTCCAAACCATGGTTGAAGCCATGTTCCGTTGGTGCTAGGAACAGGTCGCCGTTGGAAGCATCGGCAACCGTAGGCGCAAGGCCTCGATGGCCGCTACACGATCCATCGCCAAGGTGAGTCCGTGGCCGCGCGAGTTGGGCAGGGTTCTCCCATATGTTTATCTTCCCCTATTGATTTTAAAGGGAATCTATCACTACTGGATTTGTTTTTGATTTTAATGTTTCCCAGGTGCTTGACTCAAGCGAATGGAAGCCTCAATTTCCTGGCTTGGTGATTTGAAACATCGCCTTTTCGGCCCATAGGTGAGTGTCCCTTGGGATCAGGGTGATGTAAAGGCATATAGGGAGCCCCGGTGAACTCACTTCTTTCATGGGCTTTAAACTTTTTGGGCTTGGGCCGTGGCGTACAAAAAGTTCAGGTTCAGTCCCTATACTCAGACTGAGTTCGGTTTCGCACTTTAGTCGTTTGGGTTTAGTTGCCAGTTTAAGTGGGAAACCACAAAAGGGGTTGCTTTGGCAAATCCACTGGTACAGGTGTCATGTTTTTTTTGTGGCTTCCGACCTCCAGATCGTTGTGTTTTTTTTTTAGGGCAAGCAACATGAAAACAATTATTGTTTAACTCACTTGCCCAAAGCCGACCTTTTGACCTTTTGGTTTTCCAATTTTGGTCCATTTTTAGTAAAGGTCCCAAAAGGTTAACCTTTTATTTCCAGGTCTTTTGGGCAAGTGAGTTAATGCGTTTTTGTTGGAGGGTAAGGTAATTAAAACTTCCCAGAGCCACCTTGTGTTGTGTTTGTGCGCTCGTTTTTCCTCCATGGGAGGGGTTGAACAAATTTGTTTGGCCGAGGGTGAGTTTCCCTTCGTATGGGTCACTTCAGGGGAAATATGGGACAACCCCGCTGTTTTTGGCGCGGCCTTTCTGACGCTTCCTTAGATGAAACTTGTCTGGGCCAGCCCAAAATGGCATTTCCGTTGAAACCAGCCAAAAGGGAGTTGCCCTCAAGGAACCTCCAGTTGGATTGGTGGCCTCCGCGTGCAGGAGAAGCTGGAAGCAAAGGACTGGGGTGGACGTTGGTTTTCTCAGAGTCCATCCCGAAATCCGCGGACCACGAGTTGGCAGGCGATGTATCCGTTTGTCTCAGTATTTATCGTGGCTCAGCCAACCCAGCTCTTGCAGGACTTGTCCATCCACAGTTTTACCGCTTGACTTGGACCGGAACCGTTTGGTGGGATCAAGGCCCCAAAACAGGTGGCCAGTTTGCCTGGCCGGGTCGTCAACTCAGCAGGTGAGTCGTGCCAATGTCAGCTGGGGGTAAGATTCACCTGATTAACTAGATGAAGCACCTGGAAAGCCAACAGAAAGTGGGTCATGGTGAGGGAGGGGCCTTCGGGTTACCCGAGAAGGGCGTTTTCGGTGCCTTTGCTGTTTGGTAAAGGAAGCCCCTACACTTCCATGTGTGGTTCCGAGTTGCTCTTGCAGAAAAACAAGCTTTAAGCGTGTTTTTGGAACAGAAGGCTCCCAACTTGTTTGCATGTGACATTCTTGTGCCTGCATATTTACTACCTGTAGAGGGTCACTGGGAAATTTCCGAACCCTCGCACCACCAATCTAAATCACTTCGGTATGTGTGATTTGGAGGTTAGGTTCAATCGCCCAAACCACCCATCCGAACCTCCAAAGGGTTGCAGTGCGATAGGAGCGCTTCCGAATGGAGCAAATCGTGCACGAGGACCGGCCCAAAAGAAGCAGAAGAAGCAGAATCAGGCCTTCCAGACGTGAGGGTGTGTCTGAAAACTTTATTGGGGCCCCACCATTTTCAGGCCCTCATGCTACGACACACCCAACTGTTGGTGTTTCCTTCTGGCTTCCCTCAAAGAAGCGCCTGGGAAGTTCGGCAAAGACTTGGAGCTATACCTTCTTCGCTTCCAGTCACCACTCCAGTTCTCTTCAGTTTGGTGTCTTTGTTTTTTTTCCGGCCGGGGGGGGTCCCTTTCAAAGTCTTATCCAGAATCAGCTCTCCTTTTGTTTGTTTTGCTTTCTTGGGGCCCCGTTTAGGCAATAAGCATGTTTCTTTGCTGGGGTCCTAGTTCCAGCCAAGAAATCAGGTATCAACAGGACACGGTTGCGGCACCATGTTTTTTTTCCAGTGCGCCACTCAACGCCGCACGGAGAAAAGAAAAAAAACACTTCGCAGGACGACGCAGCAGCTCGCAGTTGCGTGCGCCTGGCCGACTGCTTGCTGCAGGCGGCTTCCAACGTCACCGCAAACGAGACCTTAGGAGAACGCGCCCAACAAAGCTTCGCAGAAGTCACCCCAAGGAATTTCGTAGTCCATTTTGAGTGGCCCCAAAAAGTTAACCTTGTATCTCTGGGTCCTTTGGGCAACTGAGATTAAGTTGGATCTCAATGAGGCTCACGACTTGAACTTTTTGGGACATGATTAATTATTGTTCCCACTAAACGGCGAACAAGAGCCATCCAGTAACGACCCCTGAGACGGTTCCTGCAGAACCTCCCAGGGGTGCAGCCTTACATTCTTCACCCTATCTCATGGCACCGGAGGGTTCATAGGGAAGATCCATTTCAATACAGTGTCCTACAAGTTCCTTGACCGGCATTGGGCTGGATTTTTAGACTTCAACTTTTTGGGAAATTAATAATAAAGGTGTTTCCTACTAAACCCCAAGAAAGTTAAGCTTTTTGTAGAGGGGTCAACAGCAACCAAGTTCTATGTGCGAGTTCTTTGCAAGGCAACATGGAGCGTCACCTCCCCCCAGTTCCTTGCGCTACATGCCGCGTGTCCCGGAGGCCAACTTGGTGGCCAGTGTCACACAGACGGCGGAGGAGCCGGAAGTTGCAGCAGCGTCACCGGAAGCATCCGGGCAAAGCCCCAGCCCCGCACAGTAATTTTGTCAAATAACGAGCTCACGGGTTGAAACAAGCTCAAAAGGTCGCACTCCCTGAACTTTATACTGCTTGGGAAGACTTGTTGTTTAGTGGTAATGAAACAACAAGTCATGTTTGGCCAGAATACTCAGGAAGAGTGATGTAGGTGCTTGGGGGGGCTCCGAATCCAATTTGATTAATTGCACGGAAACCCATGCCAGCCTAAAAAAAGGGGGGCATTGTCCATATTCATAATATGGGTGTGCCCATTTTTAGGGGAACCCCGAAAATGATGGTGTTCCTTCTGATGTTCCTTAAAAACTATATTTGTTTTCTATGCGGGTACCAGGTAAAAAAAGAAAGAGAGGGGGGCCTTGTTGGGGTGGAAATGCTGAATCCACACAGTTCACCGCAAAAACAACATTGCGATTGTAAACCGTGTGAAGCAACCTAGTGGAAACGAATCAAGGCAATTGGTGAACCCCGCCGCAAGCAGGTATTTCATTTCCAACAAGTGCTTTCATTTTCTTAAGTATATGTTCCGTTTTCTTCTGAAGCGTGCAACCAACTCAATGAGAAGCTTATAAGTATGGTTACAAGGGCAGCTACTTTCCCGGTTGCCTACAAACTGAGTTGGTACGCCCAAGAAGAACTTTTCAAGAGGACTGCTCTTCCAACACCCCATCGGCAGGATGAGCACTTGACCGGGCCTTTGCCACTAGTTGTGTGGGCAAGCGCAGGCGGTTAGGCCGCCCTGTTCAACGCCGCTGGTTGTGCTCAAGTTGTAGTTGCTTCCACCTGGAGGCCACCCGGCGCTCAAGATGGTGACTTGGCGAGCAAGCGGCTGCACCTGTGGATGCCCATCACCACCAGGGTGAATGTAGATGGTGCAATCCCCTTTCTGTTGGCAAGGCGGCGTTGAAGCCCACTTGGGGAATTGTGCCATCTACTTTCACCCTACTTTGAACTGCAATTCAATCGTAAGAATGTGTGGTGAGGGGGTCGGCATCCATTCAAGGGTGCCCTTGTCATGTGCAAGTCTCATGGTTACCCCTGGTGCATAAATGGGGAAGTGTGTATCACCAGCCTAGTCTAGGCAGTTCGGGGTGCGCATGGTTTGTTTGTTCCTGTGCCACCCTCTTAGTAGGAAGGTGGGATGCGGTTTTCAATCATCGTGGCTAAAACGTGTTGACGCCAGGGTCATGCCAGGGTCCACTCAACCTGCTGCCAGCGAAGTTCGTACAGCGACAATAGAGACGTGCGCGCCAGCACGCACAAGCGACCAAGCATTTGACCATGCTGAGGGTCAGCGGATCTCAGAAGGATTGTAGCCGCGGTTAGGCCATTACGCGTTCAATCAGGTCTGAGTTGTTTGAGCGTCCGCGGGGTTGTTTGGGAGAGCTGTTGTTTGGACATGTTTCGGTTTTGGAAAGGACTGTTTCCTGTTGTTTGATTAGCTTTGCTTCTTGTTTGAGTTTCTGGCTTTCAACTATGTAGGTGTCCCTTCGAAAAGGTCCGCAGTCAGGTGTCAAAACTAAGCGATCTACTCTGGGAAAAGTGGGAAAGCAATGCTTGACAGCGGCCAAATCACATTTGACCCTTTCGGTTTTCGTTCAAACAAATAGTGCTCATGGCCAGGTTGGGCAACAAACATTTGTAAACAGGCTTGCTGGGACACCAATGGAGCCACAATCCATACCTGGAATGCAGCCTCACTCCCAGAGTTGGACTTGAGGTACTTGGCAAGATCCCGTGTCTAAGGCGTTTTGTTTTGCACCCGTATACACCCACTGGGTGTTGACCCCATGGCACATTTCCGGATAAAACCATGTGATTTTGAACCATGGGAAATTTCTCAAGTACTCCCAGGGTGTAATGCAAAAATATGCAAAAATCCTCAGACCGTGGCACGCAACAAGTTTGGTTGCTTTGGCCGGGGTGTTTCGCCGAGGCAGATCTGTGGCCGCCCTCGCTGCCGCTGGACAAGCAGGGCCACCGCGTGTTGGATGCCGCGTCTGTGGCTCGACACCGTTGGGGGTGCTTCCTTCATTGGACGGAGCTTTCCCTCACTTGCTCAAGCCGACCTTTTGACCTTTTGGTTTTCCCATTTTGGTCCATTTTTAGTAAAGGTCGCAAAAGGTTAACCTTTCATTTCCAGGTCTTTTGGGCAAGTGAGTTCCTTGAAACTGGGTTTCCTTCATTGCCGTTTTTTTGTAGATAGCAAAACTCAGTCCCTGAATTGAAATCGCTACGCGATCCGCCGACGCCAGTGGGGTGCAAGGGATTTTAGAACTTTTTTGTTTTTTTTTTCTGGGAAGTCTTGCCAACAAAACAAGCACCAGATGATAGAAGGTCTGAATTTGCCAGTTTACAGACATTTCCCTATTTAAACATAAAAAAAAAAAAATGGCTGGAAATGCAAGGGCAAAAAATTGACCAAGCACAGAAAATACCAGAGATGCCGGGAATGCTGGGAATGCAGCCGGCTGGCCACAAAAAAGTTTAAAAAACCATGTTTTTTTGTTAGATTTCCTAAAATCAACAATCAAAAGCCGGTACTAGCAACCCCCCTCAAATACCCTAGAAATAGACTTCCAAAAACACGATAATGCAGGGGATGTTTCGCAGTAACTGCTCCGTACAGGTGGGGAATTGCAAAAAACACTCATTGTTGCAAATTCAAACAGTTCCTCAACGTATCACTGCACTTGGCCCCACCCAGACCCCTAACAGGCCGATTCCAACATCGCTTGAAACAGCAAAACACCATTAGCATCTGCAAAAAGAAGAGACAAATTCATAGCAGCAAGGAAATCCTGATGATGCTGGGGATGCAGATCCTGCGCGTCCGGGGAAACCCCCCCTAGAGACCTGGGCGAAACGCAGGTTTTTCGCACGCAAGCCAAACCATGCCCAAAAAATGGCAGCCCCAAAAGCCTTCGGCTTTGATAAGAGATCCGAAGGAAGACCAAGTTGCGGACTGCCATCTACACGCTCGACTGGCGTCGGCGGATTTCTGGAAACTGGTTGGGCAAGACTTTTTTGTTGAAACCAGTGGGTCCTAGGCTCCTTTGAACAGAAACCATCGAAGGAGGTTGCTTGACATATCTTTCCTCCTGAGCTCAGGGGCCGCAAGGGTCCCAGTTTTTTCCGTTTGCCACGAATATGGCAAACCTCTAACCCCTAAACCTCTACACAGAAAACCCTAAACCAAACCCAGAAAGTAACGGGTTCAGGCCACGCGGGTTTTCTGACGGGCCGAGCTTGTGGGTTGGTACGTGTCGCTTCTCCATACGTTGGCGTATTTTCTTTGAATCGGTACGGTTGATACCTGGGATTCACTTGGACGAGGCTCTCTTTCCCCAGCTTGGGTGTGTCTTACCCCCCCCCCCTCCCGCCCAATGTGAGGGATTTGATTTTTTTGGGGGCCCTCAAATACCATCGAACATGGGTTGTAGCCCCAATATGATGGCGCGAACCCCCTTTTGTGTTGGAAAACCAACGGAAAACCAACCAACGGAATTAGTTTCCCTGGAAAACCAACCGGGAACAGGAGTGGCGTGGAGTCCTTTGGATGTCCTTTGGATCCTTTAGTCTCGCATCCTCGCTGAGGTGTGGCTCAGAGAGGGCTCCCGCGACGGCAAGCGGGTGCTGGACAGGAAGAACATGCGCCATGGATCTTTCTGGTGTCGTCATTTTCACGGTTTCTGGTTGGGTTATCAAAGTCAGAAAGTGGGGTTGCTTCCCCTTTTGCGCCCCCCACTTAGGGGGCGACTTTGATCATGGTAAAATGATGAGGCCAGTCCTTGCGCGTTGGTTTTCTCGATTTTCTTTTTTTTGCGGCGAACCCTGGCTCGGGCAACCTGCCAGGTTGGTGGTTTGGATTGGCTCGGATTTGGGGATCCGAGCCGCTGGTTCTTGTAGAGACTAAAATGGGAAACCCCTTCACCACCAAACCGCCAATTGGAGGAAAGCTGACTGACAGATTGTTTTAAGCAGGGAAGCCCAAAAGAAGCCAGAAGACCGTTTCGAGATCCAACTCCCTTGACACCTTTTGACCTTTTGCTGCCTATATCGAAACGAACGTTTGTTTAACTTATTATTTGGTACACGAAACAAGTACTTTTTGCTGGCAGTGTGCTTCGTCATGTTTGCTTTTACCAGAAAGTGTCATCTGCTTGCCAAACGTGAAATCAGCTACCAAGCAAACGGGACACCCACTGGAAGTTTAAAAAAAGAGTTGGACACTCAAAGGAACAACTCGATCAGCTTGGCGTTTGGCTGATAAGTGCTTTCTTGGTTATTTCGGCTTCAGAAGGCCTAGGAGACTTGCCAGAGTCACGAGACACGCAGAGGCAGGTTTGAGCATGGCCAAGTGTGGCATGAGCCAGATGTTGATGTAAAACCACAGCTGAAAAAATCACAAAGGACCATCACGTGTCTTGCTTGCTGAGGAACAGCACTTATGGAGGATCACTGTCTGCAAGGTCTTTGGACAAGATGTCTGATCCCTGGCAGCAGCTTTTGCTCGGCTTTCGGCCGCGTTTGTCGTCCCTCCAGGGACTCCTCTGGTCCATGAATGAATGCCACTTGAACCTGCGATCAACTCCACCAACACCCTCTCAAATGGCTTGGAATTTCTTCTCGGCCTGTTTTTTGAGAGTCAGGCCCATTTTGGTACGCTTTTGTTCTGCTTCAATTGAAAGCGTCACGAGCATTGTTGGGGAGCACCTGTTTAGGCAACCGCGGGAACCAAACAGCCAGGGATAGACAGAATCTCTAAATCGGGAGCGCAAGAGCCCAGTTACTGCCAACATTAGCTAGGCTTGCTGCCCCGAAACAAAACGTCCCATGTACCTAAACCCTCAATCTTCCCTTAAACAAGGGAATTAATGTTTGAGGGCATTGTGAGGGTCAGTTCCATCATATTGGGGGGGGGGGGGGCGTTGTAAGACACA